ATCAAAACAATTATCTCATCAACTACTGTGAGATCGTCGCAAAAAATAAAAAATGAATTGCATAAATGGGAATGAGATAAAATATAGCAATTCATCCACGAGCACAAATAAATTGCAAAATCGGTTTGAAAATCATACAATAGCATAAATAAAGATTGAAGATGAGAGTTTAAAGAAGATGACACACATTAGGTAATAGTATTTGTTGTTTGTTATACAGTAAAAAACCTCAGCAGCTCTTTAGTAAATTATAATAATTACTCATATACACATTTTAGACACAAAGGTTAAACGTACAAAACCACAAATCCTTTTTCTATAAGTTTAAAAGCAATTTGACCCTTCCTCCCTCCCTTCACACCTATAATATTATTGAGATTGTATACAGCATTGCATAGACAAACATATCTGTTGTGCTGCATTGATAGTTTAATTGAGTTTGCAAACTAGGAATTATAATTATTTCAGTTTCTAAACAATAATTGAGTACTGTAAATAAGTGCATTTAAATTGAAAGTAACAAGAATTGTTTCTGTGCTCAACATAGGTTATTAAAATTACTATATGCGTACATGATTTGTACGTTTGTACGCCAAACAAAAGTTTTTTTGACGGTTTGGATACGCACAATCTATCTTTGAGGATTTAACTACTTTGAATCTTCTCATGTCATATTTTACTTTGTCAGTTGTAGGGAAAATAGAAACAGCTAAGCTCATTATAGTTTTCCGCACGATGGAAGATAATCCGACAGCTTAGCCGACAATTGGCTTGGTATTATGTGAACTTGACGCGACTTGCAAAGATTCTCGGGAGTCTTAACTCTTCTCTCTACCCTTGATGATTAGACTAGCTCTACCAGAGACACTGGCGTTATGTTCTTGTAGATCTGCTCTACGTCTGTGAGGATACTGACGAACGTCATTGATATAGTTTACAAGCTGTACCAATAGTAGCTGTAATGAAGCTGTACAAGCTGTAATTAATAGTGTAGATTCAAAAGTATGTTTATGTTCAAATGTAAAAAATGTTTTTTCATTCGGAAAACATTGAAACTTTAAAGGCCACTGGGACTCTGATGGAATTTCTTAAAATCGCTTCTTACGCACACCTAAAGATGAATTACATCCTTCATTCAAGTTCTTGAGTTCTTATGGTTTGCAGTTTTAGTGATCAGTGAGTAGGCCTTTTATAAGTATGGATTTATTGCGAGGTACAATTTTAGAGGGAACATGTGGATTTAATATTTCTTAATTTTCTAAATTTTTTAGTAATTAAACTTAGTCTTCATTCGGCCTAAGAACACCCATCTTGTCCGTGGACAATATGAACCTTAATTTTCATATATTTTTTAAATACAGTACCGTATACAGTAGAAACCCGGTGAACCGAATTCGGGTTAACCGAAACCTTGGTTAACTGAAACGGTTCCATAAATTAATACAGGGCTAAAATATAGGTAATACGTAATGTAACAATGCTTTAGTAACTTCAGTTGTTTAGCTTATGTTCTAACACATTGTAACATTTCTGTAGCTAAAATAAAATACTGTATTATGACATTGTTTTAAATTCATTTTTCCAACTCACCGTGGTAATACATAGGCTTTATTTAGCATTTGACGGGTTAACCGAAAAATTGGTTATCCTAAACGGCGCTCCCCCCTTTATTTCGGTTAACCGGGGTTCTAATGTAAGCGAGGAACTGTATGTGGAAGAGCGCTGCCACTACTACGAAACACAGCGTCCAACAAAAATGATGATATTTTCTCATCCATGCATATGAAAATTGTAACATCAATTATTCATATTTATTACATTACTATATGCAGAACTACAATTTTATAAATTGTTAAAATTGAAATATTTTAAATTTAAACCTGAATATACGATGTTTATTGTAGACGCTAGTAAAATGAATGAAAATTGTTTTCCGGCGTAAAACATTTAGCTCAAAGCTCAAATGCTCAAAGCAAGTTTACAATCAAAAGCCAACAAATGAAAACACTTTTAGATATTGTTTCACTTTTAAAGGAAACTTGCAAATATTTCTCCCATTGATATGTACTGCAAAGTAATATTGTAGTTGTCGTTGTTTACTATTTAGTCTGTGTTTGTAATAATAAAGTATAAAAAACATAACTCGCTGCAAATGAGCTATTGAATATAAATATGTTAATTAATAAATTGTATAATGTTCATAACTTAACAGATATTTACTCTTTGAAGTTTGACTTCTTACAGAAGCAAAGAAAATTAAGTAACGATCCTTTTAGTCTGTATTTTAACTGTAAACGTAAAAAAATTATCCGAGTAAATATTCATTTTTTTCTTAAATGTTGTTACTTTATTTTAATTGAGGTAATAATGGTACTTTACGGTATACACACAATAACAAGTGTAGTATAAAGTGTTCTACTACTCTTGATAGTCCAACTTTTATTGTATTTGATTATAACTACGAATATTACTGTGAATTTAACAGTTCAATAAAAAGATAAAAGGAATATTTTGATTCTTTAGTCGTTTGGCATCATCAATATTATATGTAGTATAAACTACCCCACACAGTTATGAATGTATCATAATTCACTCGGTATTGGGTATCAATTTATAATGTCGTATTGTTGAGCGGTAGACAGATAAATAATTTAGTGGCAATCAACATCGGGGGTCTTGGCCGTTATTTGACCACCACACGGCACATGTTCAAACCTCAGCTTGGACCAAGTGCAATGATAACATAGATCAAATAGGTTTTTACTATTATAAATAGGTTTGCATACCTTACGTCATTAATCCCAAAAGTAGTCGCCATAGACCAAATTTATGATTGATGGCGTTAAGTATGTAAACCTATTCATTTTGTCAATTACAGTATCAATCCTGGACGCAATGCTGAATTAATGTTTTTACTTCAAAAAATTTTCTGGTTACTAAACACTAAACATCGATTTATTACTGAATTTTTGTTGGACGTGGTTGGATGTCACATAACAATACTGCATAGTACATGTGCTATTTATGTCTTAGGTTCTGAACAAACTAGTCCTAAAAATTATTTTCTAGAGTAAGAATGAACTAATAAGGTTCAATATCCAGTAACAAATACGTTTTAAACCAGTAACGGAACCAACCACTGTTATTATTTCAAGGCAATTATGAAGGTTTTACAAATTATCATATGTTATCAATTTAGTAACTTATCCGTTGTTTACTTTATTGTAGTTATGGAAACGCATTCTGTAATAACCATTCTGCAAGCTAATGCAAACCCTGCAGATGAACCAAATCGATGTTCCTTTAGTATGTTAATTTAATGGAACCTTATTTTTGTATATAAGTTGCTTCTAAAAGCCAGATAAAGTGACAAACTAAGTTTATCTCGAGACTTACAAAAGCACAATAACACTAACTGTTTGCCAACAAGTAAGCCGTCACTTAAATGTCCCCAGTTAAACTGCAATAAAGAGGTTACTCGGCAGAAAACTCTTATTGAAATATCCATCAAATTATTTTGTATGGTTTAACCCAGAAACCGCGTTATTACCTACTTACGAGGGAAAGACGAAATGTGTTTAATGTTTATAAAATCTAATTAGGGAATTGGGAATGTGTTGAGGGAGGAAGGAGGGAATGTGTGCCTCACATGTTTGTCGTGATTAGTGCACCTGGTTGGAGCAGAAACGACGTGCATATTATGGTTTTCATGAATACATAATTTCATACTGTATATTATGTGGCATTGTAGACAGCGGTTTGTAACTCCTAAGTATTATGAATACTAATATACATTTTATTTCTGATTTTAAAATCTTAAAGATAGTTAATCTTAGGCCTACTAATATTATAAATGTGAAAGTTTGTTTGTTTGTTTGTTTGTATGTTTGTTTGTTTGAAGTTCGATCACGCATTAACTACTGAACGGATTGGGTAAAAATTTGGCATGATGATAGCTCACATTCCCGATTAACATTTAGGCATAATATTATCTCAAAAATCCTTTCGGGCTCCACCTCAGTGGCTCTATAGTTCCCTATGTTAACCTTATGAGTATTCATATTTAAAGGGTATTAAAGAATTTAATCAGCTGTTTCAACTAAAAAAGTTGGTTTTATGACAAACTAAAGCATTAAAAGGTTATCATGTTTACCAACAGGGTGCAGCACTATTATTTTTGTCATTTATGAAAACTGGTAATTTGAACCAAGAAGCAATAAAAAAACTGTGATACGCAATGAGAACGGCCAAAGTAAGATTGCTTACAGTTATGTTTATTGTTTTTTTTTTTTTTACTCCATGAATAATTTGTGATATTTTGCAAATTTTTAATTTTTTTTTTAGGTGAAGTGGTGGAACATTATGGCTATGGTAGATGTGTAATACTATACTATACCGTAAATTTAAAGAAGCAAATTTGATCAAACTGTGTCCTCCCCTGCAAACACAAAGCTTAAATATAACTGCAATAATTATTTTATACCTATTTACCAACCCCGTACGAAGGACGGGTACTCTGCTAGTGATTAATAATGTATAAAATCATCGCTGTTAACGTTTATTTATTTTAGCCGAATTTAATAGATGTGTTGGCGTGTTATTTGCATTTGCGTTAACTGGCATCTTAACTCTTCGAGCCAGTTCGACCGAAGTGTATGTATGTAGTTTATTCTGTGTAGAAGTTGGGTTTTGTCAAACTTTGCTGTTGATTCTAAGCCTTTTAAGCATATGTGACCGTCATTCACTTCTGCCTAAAATCAATGTTTAGTCTATCGGTTGATTATTCTACGTCCATTGCTCACCGACATATCTCCTTAATAAAAGTGCTAAACGCAGTACGTTATCTCCCATTATATTGCATTGTAGAATATACTAATTAATGTACGAATAGATGCCTGCTTACTAAATGCTCTTCCTTATATGTAAAGACTGAAATAGTCTTTTTGTAAAATGTATGCTTTTTTTGTTGATGTCTAATGGCATTCATGCGCTTGTTTCAGGAGGCTGGAGAATGTGACGCAGCCAGAGTGATGGGTGCGAGATGTAGCCTCCTGGCGTGGCTCTTGTCTGCTCTGGTGGTAGCCTCTCTCCAAGACAACTTCCGCTTCACCAGTGACCACTACAATGTCACTGTCCCCGAGAACTCCGTCGGCAAGACGTACGTCACCCCCGAGGAGAAGATGGGTGTGTACCGCCTCGACGAGGACGTCGAAGTGCGGTTCAAGATCGTGTCCGGGGATAGAGACAAATTTTTCAAAGCGGAAGAAAGACTCGTGGGTGATTTTTGGTTTTTATTAATTCGGACTAAAACCGGGAACGTGGATGTGCTCAACCGCGAACGGAAAGATCGTTACGTTCTCGACGTGCGAGCGACCGCGACGAAGAAGGACGGTAAGAAGATGTCGTATTTGGAAGCCAACACGACTGTCTCTGTGAGTGTTCTCGATACCAATGATCTCAATCCTCTCTTCTATCCCACCGAGTACTTAGAAACCGTCGCAGAAGACCTGCCTCTGCACTCGAGCGTAATCAGAGTCGCCGCCGAGGACGCTGACCTCGGCAGGAACGGTGAGATCTATTACAGCTTTAGGGAGAACACCGAACAGTTTGCTGTGCATCCTACTTCCGGTGTCGTTACACTTACCAGGCCTCTTCGGTATTCCGAACGAGAAGTCCACGAACTGACAGTACTTGCTCAAGACAGAGGTACAGTGCTCAAGGGGGGTGGCAAAGCCAGTACCGCCAAGTTAAAGATCTTTGTCAAGCAGGTCAATCTCCATTCTCCTGAAATTTACGTTCAACACCTACCAGATATTGTAGAAAATTCTAACGCCGATATTTATGCGATAGTTAAAGTGATGGACAGGGATGATGGGATTCATGGGGAAATTAAAAGCCTTGACATTGTTGACGGTGATCCTGACGGACATTTTCGGATTCGAAAGGCTAAGGGAAATGGTGGCTTGAAGGGAAGTGAATACAACGTTGAAGTTTTAAAACTGTTAGACAGAGAAACAGCGCCCCAAGGCTATAACTTGACGTTGCGTGCAGTGGATAGAGGCATACCTCCTCGTCAAACCTACATGTCAATTCCTGTACATCTAGCAGACCTAAACGACAACGCTCCCGTGTTCGACAGAATGATTTATGAGGTAGATGTTCCAGAAACTGCTCCCATAAATTCTCCGATAATACGACTGAAAGTCACTGATGCCGACCAGGGCCGCAACGCTCAAGTATTCTTGGAGATCGTAGGAGGCAATGAAGGTGGCGAGTTTCGGATTAATGCCGATACTGGGATGTTGTACACAGCTGTCTGTCTCGATGCAGAAAGTAAAGCGTTCTACACCTTGACAGTTTCGGCGATCGATCAAGGGAACACAGGCACACGCAAGCAATCTTCAGCGAAAGTAAAGATCCAGGTTATAGACACGAACGACAACGACCCTTTGTTTGACAACTCAGAGTTGACGGTGTCTGTCGATGAGAACCAAGCTGCTGGCACTTCCGTGACCAAAGTTACAGCTCGAGACAAGGATTCCGGAGAGAATGCGTACATATCCTACAGCATCGCTAATCTAAACCCAGTGCCTTTCGAGATTGATCACTTCTCAGGTGTAATAAAAACCACGCAAATGTTGGACTATGAATCAATGCGAAGACAATATGTTCTACACATCAGAGCGTCGGACTGGGGCGCTCCGTACCGACGTCAGACTGAAATGAAGTTAACAATCAACCTAAAAGATGTAAATGACAATCGGCCTCAGTTTGAAAAGATTGACTGCAACGGACACTTGCCTCGATACACTCCCATTGGAACAGAAATATTAACATTGTCTGCGATCGATTTTGATGCTGGGAACATAATCAGTTACAGGACGGTGGCCGGTAACGAGGACGGATGTTTCAACTTAGACACAGCGACTGGTGTCCTCTCTGTGACTTGTGATCTCAGCGACATTATGGTCTCTGAGCGAGAAGTCAACATGACGGCTACTGACGGGACTCATTTCGCAGATGTCAACACCGTGAAGCTTAAACTCATTGCAGCAAAGAAAGATTCCGATGTATTCGTTAATTCGAATTCAGTTACATTTGAATGTAAAGAAACAGGTGTAGCACGAAGACTAGCTGATGCCATGGACTCAGTAAAGAAGAACAATGCTCTTCATAATGAATCCGAAGTATTTGCCATGATGCCAAGTAGATACGGGGACAACATACACACTCCTGAATTTATAAATTTTCCTCACGAGATTCAGGTAAATGAGTCAGCTCCGATCAGAAGCACACTAGTTAAGATCCGTGCTCGGGATAGAGATTTGGGTTACAATGGAAACCTAATTTTCGGAATAACCTCTGGAGATCACGACTCAGTGTTTCGAATTGAGCCTGAAACAGGTGAGTTGAAGGTTATTGGCTACTTGGACCGAGAACGTGAGACAGAGTATTACCTAAATATAACAGTCTACGACCAAGGCCGTCCTCAGAAGACTCAATCCCGTTTACTTCCTGTCATGGTGCTAGATGTCAACGACAACGCTCCTAAATTTGAGAGAGCTTTAGCTAGTTTTAGAGTTACAGAGAACGCTCTCAACGGCACAGCAATATTCAAACTCAACGCGAGCGATCCCGATCTAGGAGAAAACTCGAACATCGCTTATTCCCTTGTCACTGACACTCAGCATTTTAAAGTGGACCCGATAACTGGGGTGCTCTTCGTCACGGCACCACTAGATCGAGAGACACAGGAACTGTACGAACTAAAGATCAGAGCTTCGGACAGGGCATCCGATCCAAAAGACGTTGAAGCGCTCCACTCTGAAGCCATTGTAAGGGTTTTCATCGACGACGTTAACGACAACGCTCCATCGTTTCCACTGCAGAGCTACTCAGTCAAAGTACGTGAAGATACGCCCGTCGGTAGCGTGGTAGCCATCCTAGACGCCACGGATCCTGACCTGGGCCAAGGAGGAGAGATCCGATACTCTATCCTGGGGGAGAGCGAGGTAGACTCGCCGTTTGTGATAGACAGGATGACAGGGACTGTGCGGACAGTGAAGCCCCTGGACTACGAAGAACGTCAGGTCCACACTCTGACTGTGAGGGCCAGGGACCGAGGTACACCATCCCTCCTCACTGAGGTCACATTGGTGGTAGAGATCGTGGACGTCAACGAGAATCTTCATGCTCCGCAGTTCGAGGACTTTGTGTTGTCTACGTCAGTGCTGGAGAACCAACCTGTCGGAACCCTCGTGACGACCATCACTGCCACGGACGCGGACCCGCCAGGGGACGACTCCAGGGTCGGCTACTCAATCAGGGCTGGCGACGGATTGGGCTACTTCTCCATTGACGATCAAGGTACGATTCTTTATATCACTATACTTGATACATTTCAAACTTTTTTAACAAAACTTATCGTTTATAACTTCGTGTTTGATTTAAAATCATTAGAAAATGGCATGAAGCAGCCTTTCAGTCTTTTACTAATTTCTTTGCCATACCTTTATGGCAAATTGTCTTCTCCTGATAAAGCCATCAGTAATATGAACAATGAGTAACTTAAATAAACAAATAGTAACCAAATAAATAAGACACTCCTTTTATTTTTACATACAAGGAACGTAAATAAAATTCATAAGCCTCAAAATACTGTAACATAGATCACGAACAATCTTTGACAAAGTCAGACAATGCCTACAGTAGTTATTGTCTTGCCATTATAACACTAGCGGAAAACGACTCAGCAACAGTGGCCCTCCCACAGCGCCTCGGTGAATAGAAACATCAACGTGGCTATTCATCGTGTCTTTTGTTGTTACTGGATCGCCTATGCAGAAGCGACGACATAACAATGGCCAAGCTTCCGGTGGTGAAGACTCTGCCACTGTACGACATCGCGGTAACCCAATAGTGACGTCCCGTAAATACTCTGAGATGATAATTTGTAGGAGAATCATAATTTAATAACGTGCAATCTATTTTGTGGTAGTTAAATATGCTTTTATATAAACATTCTTATAATCATACGGATATGTATTGATTGTCTCAACCATTCATGCATCGTCATTATGCTATGTGAACCATAAGAAAACCATAAACTGCGTGTGTACGAGCCAAAAATATATATTTAGTCCTTGTATGCGAAGCTGTAGTAGGGTATGGAATGATTAATTCATAATCATTACAGTTAACTTCGTGTTAGAATCAATATTGCATCATGATTCCAATAACCTTCATTCATTGCATCACTTATTACCAAGAATAATCCGATTCTAAGCTTTTATGTACGACAATAACAGAATATCGGCCTTCAAATCGAGTTGAGAACCAATTTCGCAACAGGTAATTGATCAGTTGACCGAATCACGAGAGCAATTAAATCCTAGTTAAGCGCAATTTGCTCAGACCCCGGCAGTGGTAGTGCGGAGAGGAGACTACGTGGACGTGGCGCCGAGCGCCGAGCGCCGGTAGACGAGTTAATAACTAGCTAATTGGTGGACGGGTAAATTGGCAGGCAAATTGCAATTACTGTCTGTGGCGGTGCGGCGCTACTGACTGACGACTCTCATTATACTGGGAAAAGGAAACTTGCCTGAGATTGGGCTCGGAGTGTAAATCTGGTGGAATTGGCAATGTCAGAAATGAACCTAAGACCAATCAGGGTCGCTCATAAATATAAAGGTCTAATATTTTGATTAGATTGGTACTGGGAGGTCCTAGGTTTGGTAGCTTTACTGTATAAAGGGATACATTGTATAGTTATGTAAGACTTTATCTTGGATTGGCGCTTAAATCTTAATTAGGTTACAACGGAAATGAACCTAAGACCAATTAGCGTCGAACATAGATAAAAAAATATATATTTTGTAATATGAAAACTCGGAAATGCGTTTATAAAATTACATCTTTTGAACCAAATGAAATGATATGCCAGGATAAAAAATCCTGGAATGTAGCATATTAATAAAAGTGCAATGCAACATAAACGCAAAAATGTACTGTTCTCTTTCTATTTAAAAATATTTAAAAATTATTTTAAAATCAAAACAAAGTAATTTTATCTCTATTGTTTTTCATTCCGTTTACATTACACCTACAGTGTAACCAACTTAGTTGTTTTAGTACTCGTATACAGTAATTGCTAGTAAAGATTATTTTGCTCAAATTGACCAAACCTTTCTCATGTATGTTATAATACTTGATTTGATCACCGGGATGTACGTCCTTTAAATGATAATACAATAATAAGTTTATTATATATAATTTAGTAAGTTTTAGTGAATAAAATAGTATATTGTTACTGCAAGATTGTTGTTCCTTTTTTATTTAATTTTTAGATCACTTTATGTCATATTAAACTGTTCAACGCTGGAAAAAAAGAAAAAAAAGAAAATAAGCTAGTGAAATATAATGCACAGTAGTACATTTTAAACATCACCAATACATACATTTTTGATCAGTGAATCGGGAGTTTTTATAACCCACAAAAGGTATTTTGATCCAGTGTCGCTCTGTGTCTGTAAAGAAGTCCATTTCTGCAACAAAGCCCGTTTGGAAGAGTCACTTCACCAAAGAGAGACTGTAATCTCTACGCGGCTGTCACTCTTACTTTTGTATCGCAATCGCATCTTCACGTGGTTATCGCTATTGATCACGTTCTACTAAAGGCACAAAAATTTTAATTTAAAACTGAGGAGAGAAAACGATAAAATATCAATATAGACCAACTATAGTTAGTTAGATCACTGTTTCGGCTTACGGTTCAATCATAAAATCATGGGTTCTACGGCCGAACGTCTATATAGCAATTACTCTTTACCCATCCCAACCTATTGTATTATACACACAGATCCACACGCGACAGTAGCTATTTATCAATCTACCGGAAACTTTCAATACTAATCAGTTCTTGTGCTCTAATTCAATGTAATTTCGCGTAAAAAATCTATGTTTTTTTTTCAACAACATAAATCGTATTTCCGAGATTATCCTTTATTTACATAACAAGCAATACGGAATTATATTATTTCGATATTTCCGTTACCTTTTTAGAATATTCTTATGAAGCCCATTGTAAAACAAAATAGAAAATATAATCTTTCCGGGACAGTAAACCGTGTAATCAGCGTTGTGGGATGCGATCAGTTAAAAAACACGATATTTTTCATAAGTTAGATATCACCATCAAGAATGTATGGTGCGACAATATGTTGGTTGGATGTTGAAAGCCAAAAGAAATGTTTTATTCACAGAAGTAGGAACGATGTTTTTCTGTTGACGGGGACCAAAAAAGGTTATGTGATCTCACTATGAAAACTACACTATTTGCATCGGGAAATCTCCTTAAACTGTATTGAAATGTTAAACGATGAGTTAATTTTTGTATGTTTTAGCGAATTTCCCTATAGGGAAGTAGCTATTACCGTAGGTGGCACGGTAAGACCTAGACCCGGGACCGATTTACTTTTTCATTTTGATGTCCCCAGAGGCCAAAAAACACTATTCGTTCAAATTTTTATATATGTATATATATATATAGACTTATATATATATATATATATATATATATATATATGGATATATATATATATACGTCCGTGAACGCAATAACTTGAGTAATTTTTGTCCGATTTTGATGAAATTTGGTTTAAAGGTGTAAAGCGGGATAAACTTGAATGAGTTCGCGAACCAGCACGATCGGACCATGGGAACGGGGCTTTACGGGGGGTTTTATGGGGTAAAAATTGGTTTTTCTCACTTTTGACCCTCAAAACACAAAATTTCCCAATTTCTCTTTAGACCTTTTTAATGAGCTTAAAAAACAAATAATTTAGTATATAAAAGTATTTTTGTTCGATTATTAGTAACGGAGAAAATTAAAAAAATTGTAAATTTAAAATTCCCATGTTATTCTTATGGAGAATATTGTCAAATGTTGTAGTTTGCTTGTTTATGAATATATTTTGATCAAACTTGGCAAATTTATTTATTTTGTACTAAGCTATCAATATTTTACTAAAAAAAAAACACTTTATTAGTTTCCTTGTAGCAGCAAACCTAGGTACTCGTTAAACCTAATGTTATTAAAATATATTTAACTGAAAATCAATTCAGACAAATGGAAATTCGCTTAGTCGGCAGGTTTGCTGCGGCGGGGGTATCCATATTAGTCAATTAGTCAATAATCTATTTTAATATATTAGGTTGAAGATTGAAAACAATATAAACACACTATGGTATTAGTAGCTGTTATCCAAATGTAGACCTATTTAAATCAGTACAACGGTAAAACCAACTAACAGCAATGTTAATATTGAAACTCAAGCCTGTAAAGTCTATATCAGATCATCAAATCATCGTTAATTTTGTGTATGTTTTTGTTCTTGCAATTTTAATACAATAACGTCACGTTCTAATTTCTATTATTTATTTTAGGTTTCTGACACTACTTGTTCCTTATTTGTCAAACGTCCTCAGAAGGCTTGCAAATCCCTTTGAAAAACAATCTATAAGCGAAAATAAATACCTTACCAAGCGAGAGACTGCGAGAGCCAGGGATTTCCCGCACATTTCTCCGAGTTCTTCTACCTTTTTCTATTCCCTCAAGTTTATACGGCTCGACTTATCTGTGAAGTAAAACCAATTTTCCATTATTTGACACCTTTCAAAGGTTAAATCAATAGTTACATTTTCATTGTCTTTTACGTGATTTTAAACACAAAAATATGTCATAATAAGTAAATATATAATACTTTTTATCGTTATGGGGTGTTTGCGTTAAAATACTTGAAATTTAATAATAGTACACATAATACATCTTTTGAATTTAATTTTTAATGCCACACTTGTAATAAAAATGTTAGTATTACTAGTTAAATTATCCTAAATAAAAAACTGTTTATAATGATAAACTAGTTTGTTTTAAAACCCAGGACTCAGTTTTATTTAGATACGATGTTCAATATGAATCTTTAAATTGATAAGTTCAATCATCTACAGTATTTATTATTTTACATTTCTACTGAAATACATAAAATGACAGGCTATTGGTTTCAGTTTGAAAAGTGAATAAAATAACACAATAAAAGAAAAAAAATAATTAAAAACGTTACAATACAGTGTATTTTTATTGATTACTACAATACTCCATATAACCTGATATTGGTTCGACTTGTTAAACAAGAAAAAACATATTTTTAAAAAATATACGAAGCAGTTGGCCCATACAATTCAAGCATCTAAAATTCCTTACGATACCAATTAAACGCGTGACAAACCAATGAGTACGTGTCTAAAAGTAGTAAGGTCATTAGTTCACCGATCAATGTCAATTTATTTCTGATTATGCTTTGAAATCC